CATATACTCAAAAAAATGTTACATCAGTTCTTAAAATAACTAGAGAAATTGCATTTCCTGCGTAAATGCAGTGTGGATGCTTATTGCTGAAGAACTTGCTGAAAAACAGCTGAAATGAGCTTAAAAACGATGTGGAGAGAGTACATTTTTGCTGAATTTGGCAAAAAAAAAAAAAAAAAGAAATGAATGTAAAAATGTGGAATTAACTGAAAAAGCTAAAATTAGCAAAAAACAGCTAAATAGTAGCTGAAATAACTGAAACTAGCAGAAATAAGCGGAAAGGAACATAAGCAGAAATGAGAAAAAAATACATTAATTAGGCTGAAAGTAGCAGAGATTACAATGAAAACTTGAATTTTTCTGAAAACATAAAATTAGCTAAAAGGGTAGCTGAAAATACAGAACAATCTTAAATTATCATACAAAGCAGAAAGAACACATTTGCCCAATTAGGCTGAAAGAAGCAAAAATGAAGACAAAAACTGGAAATTATCTGAAAAAAGCTGAAATTAGCAAACATCAAAATAGCTGAAAAGTAGCTAAAAAAAGGCAGAAATAAGCTGAAATTACAAGAAGGAAGTGGAGAGAACACATTTTTTTTTTTTTGCTGAATTAAGTTAAAAAATTGAAATGGTTGTAAAAAATGTAGAATTAGCTGGAAATACTTAAATTAGCATAAAATCAGCTGGCGATTGCTGAAATATCAGAAAAAAATGAAACTTGCAGAAATAATCTAAAAGGAGCACAAAACAGCTGAACTGCTTAAATTAGCTGAAAGTAGCTGAAACAATGTTTAAGTTTGCACAAAGTTGCTGAAAGAAGCTGAACCAGAACAAAATGTAAAAAGAGTAGTAAAAGGTTGTAAACACATCTGAAGATTTGAAGGATGTAAAACGAGATCATTTTCAATGAGAAAAAAATAGAAAAGGCTAAATATTTCAAAAAGCTAAATTTGCACCAATACCAAAAGTCATAGCAGGATTGTCCTGAAAGAGCCGAACGTTTTGATTTATGATTTGTTAAAATAACATAAAAAATGTGGAGCAAGAAAGATGCCGGAATATGTACGGCAGAAAACGTGTTACAATAGTGTGAATGCTTCATAAACATTCACACAATAAATGTAAACACCAGTAAAATCTGTAACTTTGACACGATAGTACTGTTAATTTTAGGGCAATTACCTGCTTTTGATATTATAGTATTTTTCTGTGAACTTTACAATATTTTAAGATTTTCACAGTACAATTCTATGTTTTCTACATATCATAACAGTACTTACTTAAAATTTCTGTCTCACAATTTACAGTAATACAGTGTATTTACTACAGTGATATACTGTTTTGCATTTTGCTGTATTTTTCTGATGCTATTTGACAGTTTTTTAAGTAAATTTTACAGACTGTTTTTACAGTGTAGTGTGAATGCTTCATGAGCGTTCACACTGTTATATTATTTTATATTTATTGAGCTCAATATATAAAGGTCACCAAACCTAAACTCAATACGTCGAGCAAAAATAATTTAGTTTCATCGATTTAAACACAAACACACACTTTGGCATTTAGCTCGTGTTTTTTTTCACCCCCACCTCCAGAAACACACTTAACCCCATCTCCCCCAGCCTCCCTCAGACCTCTTCCCCTCTTGCCCCTCTCCCATGTTTGTTCCCCACTCCTTTGCTCACTTGCCCTTTCCTCGCCACACCTCGCCCTCCGTCACTCCGAGCAGAACCGCACACACAAAAACAGGTCAGCAACTTGTTAATGTCATTGTGATGTCTGTGAAGCGGCAGTGAATAGTGCGAGGTGCGCGTGCGGCACGTGTTAAAGTGTGACAAAATAAAACTAATGGGTCTAACTTCAGCATGGTGTTTTTGTTGGCAGCTGAAATGTTGTTTAAGATGGTCGTTAGGGCCGGGGGGTGGGGGTCGGGGCTGGCCTTATGGTGAATGAAGCTGTTGGACATTAAATGCTGCTTGAGTTATATATGTGTGAAATGACACAGAAACATTCTTTTTAAAGCTGAATAAGAAGGATCAAACGGTGTGTTTGAAGGCACGGCTGCTGTCACACTTTTCTTTTTGAACTCTCCGACTGGATACTTTTAAAGGAGTGTCGTGTTCAGATTTAATGCACTGCAGATTTTATTTATTGTTAGGAAGTACAAAGACTCTTTTCAACACCTTCTGATCTCCTAAACCCCTCGCATGCGCTAAAATAAGCTGTAACGCCAAGCGTGGACACGTCCTGCTATTGTTTGTTTCACCGTCATAAATCTGTCATTGTGACTAAAAGCATACAATCTTTTTTATTTGCATTGTTCTGTGCACATATTTTAGAATTGTTAGCCAGCTATTGATTGATGCAACTGGTCACTTTAATTTTACTTTCACTGAGGAGAAAATGGCAGCTCAGACCTTTATTCAAGATTCAAGATTCATAGAAGAGTATGAACATCAACCACTTCATTTTCCTGTATTTTGACTGGATTTCCTGTATTTTGACTGGATTTCCTGTATTTTGACTGGATTGCCGTTATTTTGACTGGATTTCCTGTATTTTGACTGGATTTCCTGTATTTTGACTGGATTTCCTGTATTTTGACTGAATTTTTGACTGTACTTCACTGGTGATGTTGGAGCTCTTCATAAAAAAAGAAGAAAGAAAATTCTCCCTACTCAGTCTCTCATTTCCACTATGGTTGATCTACAGCTGCTCACCTGTGTGGCAACTTTAAAGTACCAAATGTCTAAAAATCTTTTTTTTTCCTGTGATTCCATGATGTGGAAACGGAACATATTGCTTTTATTGCACATAGTTATTGTTACAGATTTATACATTTTAAGTCTAAAATACTTTTCTTAACTCTAACCAAGTATTTAGGGTGCTTAAACGAGCAGACAGACAGACAAATAATAATAAGAATATGCACATGCACAAGATGGTACACTCATGATTAACTATATACAGTATGTATACATACATACACATCCAAGCATACATACATGTATATACAGTACATATGTACAAATATACATACATACATACACATACGTTTGGTACAATCAAATTGTTGTAGTTCAAATTAGATACAGCTAAATTAAAGTGAAAACTTTAAACCAATAAAGATTTTTTTTTTCAATCATTGCGCTCTCATTTCGTGGGGAGTGGTGGTGCAGAGGTTAGAGAAGGTGGGCATGTGACTGGAAGATCGCTGGGTCAACTCCCGGTACTGACAACATAAAAAATGTGGGTGGGATAGATGAAGCACCCTCACCTGTCTCCACTCTCATTTGCTCTACTCTGGGCCCTTGAGCAAGGCCCTTAACTCTCACCATCTCCTCCCCCAGGCACCCTATGGCAGCTCTCTGCTCCACACAGGGGGCTGTGGTAGCTCGGTGGTCTATGGTTGCATCAGGAATGGCATCCGGTGTAAAATCAATCACCAAGTCTTTATGCGACTCAGTTCGCTGTGTTGACCCCTGAAGAAGGGAGCAGCCGGAAGAAGAATAAATAAGTGCTCTCTTGTTTCATCATCCTGTGTGAACACTTGAACTCTGAACTTCTTGTAGAATCAGGACTGATGTGTTTGTGAAAGTAAAGCCGCAGTTTCATTTTTGCTAACAGCTAAAGGGTGTAGCAAGCATTTGAGTGGAATGTGACACCACAGCTGCTTCATTTACTGAAGACACAAACAGTCCTGGAGACAGTCCTGGAGACAGTCCTGGAGACAGTCCAGGAGGCAGTCCAGGAGACAGTCCTGGAGACAGTCCAGGTGGCAGTCCAGGAGACAGTCCAGGAGGCAGTCCAGGAGGCAGTCCAGGAGGCAGTCCAGGAGGCAGTCCAGGAGACAGTCCAGGAGGCAGTTCAGGAGACAGTCCAGGAGGCACTCCAGGAGGCAGTCCAGGAGGCAGTCCAGGAGACAGTCCTGGAGACAGTCCAGGAGACAGCCCAGGAGACAGTCTAGGAGGCAGTCCAGGAGGCGGTCCAGGAGACAGTCCAGGAGACAGTCCAGGAGACAGTCCTGGAGACAGTCCAGGAGGCAGTCCAGGAGACAGTCCAGGAGACAGTGCTGGAGACAGTCCAGGAGACAGCCCAGGAGACAGTCTTGGAGGCAGT